ATCAAGATTTGTGGCCAGGTTGTAAGAAGTTTAAGAAATTGAAAGCAGTTGTAAGACTGTATCATATCAAGTGTTTAGCGGGAACGCCAGACGAGATCTTCACCACTTTACTGGAGTTAATTAAAAGAATGTTGCATGAAGGGGATTGTTTGCCTGAATCCTGTTGTGAAGCCTTTCTCAAAAGTTTAAACCTTGCCAATGGAACTCAAAGCTTGCATGTTATTCCTTTTACAAAATCCTCAATTTTCATCGATCTTCATGACATAAGATTTTGTGGTATCCACTTCTGTAAATATTTTAAATTGACGATCAAATTAGTTCATCGTATTCCTATAGGATCAAGGAGTGTAGCCGTAAAAAATCATCAAAATCGGAGATAAAATAACCGTTAAATCGTGATTTTTTATTTATAACCGTCAAAAAGTTTTGTCTCCTTACTTGATCTCTGAATGTTTGTTTTTTTGCAATTTTTGGCGTATGCAATCTCGAAGCATATAAACAAGTTTAACGGTTGGATCAATGAAATTAGTTTCGTAGAATGCGTATCCCATCAAAATGATAGATTCACAAACTCTTAAAGTTTATTTATACTTTCATTAAGTATAACATAAGAATTTGTGGTATCCACTAGTGTAAATATTTTAAATTGAAGATCAAGCTCATTCATTGTATTCATATAGAGTCAACGAGTGCAGCTGTAAAAAATCATCAAAATCAGAGTTAAAATCACTATTAAATCATGAATTTTCTTTTATAACCGTTGAAAAGTTTTGCCCTGTTACTTGATATCTGAATGTTTGTTTTTTGTGAATTTTGGCGTATGCAATCTCGAAGCATATATAAACAATTTTGATGGTTGGATCGTTGAAATTAGTTTCGTAGAATGCGTATCCCATCAAAGCGATAGATTCATTAACACTTAAGAGTTTATTTATACTTTCATTAAGAATAACATAAGATTTGTGTGGTATCCACTAATGTAAATGTTTTAAATTGAAGATCGAATTCATTCATTGTATTCATATAGGATCAAGGAGTGTAGCTATAAAAAATAATCAAAATCGGAGTTAAAATAACCGTTAAATCGTGATTTTTCGTTTTATAACCGTCGAAAAGTTTTGTCTCGTTAATTGATCTCTGAATGTTTTTTTTTTGCGATTTTTTTTCTGATGTGATCTCGAAGCATATACAAACAAGTTTGACGGTTGGATCGTTGAAATTAGTTTCGTAGAATTCGTATCCCATTAAGTTCAATGGTGTGTGTATATATATATTTATTAAGTAGATTTAAATTTATTTATTTTGTATGTATAACACTTAAGACATTGAATGGTATGTATATTTAAGCTGATCCAATGGTCGCCAATTTTTAAAATTTAATTTAATAATATATATATATATATATATATATATATATATAATTATTATAGTTTTTAGGGGTATAAAATTGTTACATTAATAAATATAATTATTATAGTATTTTTTAGGATTATAAAATTATAAAATTAATATATATAAAATTATAGTATTTGAAATATTAGGCGGGAAATTTACCGCTTGTTTGCATGAGGAAATGGATGGAGAGACTTAGTGTCAGTTTTAACCGATGCTAGTGTCATTAAAGCGACGCTATGTGAATTTCAAAAAGTGTGTCAGAAGTTGGCATCGGTTTAAACCGACGCTAGTTTCATTAAAGCGACGCTATGTGAATTTAAAAAAGTGTGTCAGAAGTTGGCCTTTTTTTAAAGCGACGTAATGTGAATTAAAAAAGTGTGTCAGAAGTTGGTGTCGGTTTAAATTGACGCTAGTTTCATTAAAGCGACGCTATGTGAATTTCAAAAAGTCTGTCAGAAGTTGGCGTCGGTTTAAACCGACGCTAGTTTCGTTAAAGCGACGCTATGTGAATTTCAAAAAGTGTGTCAGAAAAGTACCCATATTTAAACCCCTCTCTTTCCCATTTCAACCGTGCTTTCATTTCTCCCCCAATTTCAGACTTTCTTCTTCTCCTTCCCCATTTCATCTGTGCGTCCCCTTCTTCCTCCTTTTCAGTTTTTCCTCAACTCTTTCCCCATTTGCTTTGGATCACCAGTTTGAAGATCAACATTCTGAGGAACTCCAATTCGAGGAGGAATAGCTTGAAGGTGGTTCATTTTAAATTATTGTGATTATTAATTTTAGTTTCTATTTTGTATTCTAACTAGTTTTATGCTTAAATTGAAAATTTATTTTTGTTTCTTGGTTTTTAATTGTTTTTTTCTGTATTTATGCATGTTGGATCTGAAGAGCAAGGACACTGGAAATCGCAGATCCATAATTTTTGAAAGGTATAAAACCTGAGTTTAATCTATAGAGATTAGAGCCCTAATGTTGAAGTAGTAAAGTATTGGAGCACTGATCTGATGGCAAGCATGGCAGCATGGAGTTGCTAGTATTATATATGGCAGTATGGAGCTTCAAAATATGTGGTCTTCGACAAAGGCAAGCACAGGAAAGCATCATGGCAGCTGCTAGTATTATATGCAAGCATGGAGCTCTCATTAGTATTATATGTAATTGTTAGTTTTTTTATCTTCATCTTGTAACCAGTTCTCTAATGGCTCCTATATATGTGTTATTTGTACTTCCTTATTTATATGAAATAGAATACATTTAACAAGAAGTTCTACACCCAAAAGACCCCAGTTGAATTCTTGAATAAATTGAATCTGTGAAGTTTGCATCTCATTTACCATCTGTGTAGGAATGCATGATAATTATTTTATTTATCGAGATGTTGGGTAATGTCGGTTAGGACCGACAATAGATTGAGTATTTTATTTGTTAGTTGCTAGTTGACGTCGGTTATGACCGCCATCACGTCAAAACATCACGTTGCTTTAAATCAACGTAAGACTGGATATTTTATAATTTAATTGCTAATTTGCGTCGCTTTAAACCGACGTTAGTTTCAGTGTCAGTGTCGCTTCAAATCGACGTTAGTATCAGTGTCGCTTTAAGCCGACGATGCGTAGTGGCGGATTAAGCGTACAAACCGACATGGAAGCCCTTTCGCGATGCTAGCATTAGTGTCGCTATTCAAATCTGACATTGCATTGTTTTATGTCGGATTTTGCTAAATTTCCGACAAAAATTGGGTCTCTTGTCGGTTTTTGCTTCGCCAGTAATAGGGTATATTGTAGTAGTGAAAAAAACAAGTCAAAACCTCTTTTAACAAAGAGTAATGCTAAGAAGACTAAATTTGCAAACTAAATGATGTGTCACCAATAGGAAATGAGCATATTTATCAACGTTTAAGTAATAATCCAATCATCAATTTCCATATCATTTAGTTTACAAAATTTAATCTATAAATTTAGTCTCCTTAGCATTGCTCTTTAACAAAACCTATAACAAGAAAGCTTGAAAAGGTTGTAACAATAAGCAGATGCAGCACAAGGAGGGCATGAATCCCACCAACAAACACCAGGTGATGCATAGTGTAGACATCGAATTTTCGGTGAAATAAATGTTCACAAACGCATTTAAGTTTTGACATGCCAGGGCATACATGGCATGCGCCACGTGTCTCATAAATCGTACACGTGGATGTGACTCATCAAAATCAAACTAGTCATCAAGAATGGCACGTGCCAACATCTGGTGCAAATAAATTATTTGAATTTAATTTAAATAAACCAAATATTAATTGATGAAGTCAAATCACGAACTGGTTCACAAATCAAGTCTTGGTTCTTTAGTCAATTAATCAAGCCCACAATCAGGGCCAAATCCATCTGTAGTCAAGGCTTGGAAAGCCGATAAATAGGAGGCTCCAAGACAAAGAAAGGGGTCCGGAAATCATTTCACGCTCATACGCTGAAGCTTTAAAATTTTGAAGCTCTCAAGCACTCAAACCCCCCAAAGACTCAAACACTCAAGAAGACTCGGAAAATCCTTCATGTTCTTCGTCAAAACCTGTGAAGAACCACCAAGCACCCCTACACGTGCCGGTTCCTCCATTGCCAAGAGCCAAAACCTTGCGGCATTCGTTCATCCAAGATCAAGTGATTGCGACCCTTGGATCAACAACACCACACATCTACACATATCAAATTGTAAAGAGATTGTAACCCTACAAATTCATTAATACAAATCTATTTTGTACACGTGTTCTTGTCTCATTTGTCGCAAGATTTTCGTGTTTACACATAGCATTAAATTTCATTCACTAAGCGGACAAGTTTTATGGAAGCTAGAATTGCTTCTGCTCAGAAGGCATATAAGAGTAGAAGGAAAAGGATTTACGTTTTGTGTGTAACTAACCTGGTGATTGAGTCAGGGTTGTGTAGTGTTACGTTTGAAAGGAAGAAGAATGCAAGAGGGGTTTGGGAAGTGGTGAACCAGGGCATCAGCGGTCAAGAGAGGAAGCTCTCGAGATATGTTACATAGGTACGATTGTTGCTCCCACGAGTTTACTTATTTTAAGAATTGATTTTCTGTTTTCGCGTAACTGGGTAGCCGCGACCAATAAATTCAAGTGATGGTGCGGGCCTGGTGTGGTCTCTGTCGGACACGACTGGCGCCGAGAAGAGAAGACGCAGGGACACCGACGCACTGTTTGCAAATTTTTTTTAAACATACCTACATATGCACTGCAAAATTTTTTGGTGCCCCCATCAATTTTGAGCCCTTGACAGGAGCACTGTTGGTACTGGCCAGGGCCGGGCCTGGGTAACCGAAACTACGAGAACAAATCATCCGAACTACAAGGACCAAAATCATAGTTTGGCCTTCACAATCATGTCGTCTAGTAGTAGCAGTCCTGCCCTGTGCAAGTTTCACATGATAAAATGTCCTTTGTAAAAGAGCCAGTTCTTTTCAATATAAGCCATAGTTAGCTACAAGAATGCGCGCCTGTGCAAGAAAATCCATTTTTTACTAGAATAAGTTTGCTACTCCATGATTGATCGCCCATCAAATCCGACAGTGAATTGGTACATACTACTTACTAAAAACGATTATAATAGCAAAGCAGAATAAATCACATGAAGAAGTCATACCGTCATCAACACTATGTATCACCAGAATTATTCGTGCTGGTCAAATTGAAAGTGTAGTGCCACAATTTTAACAAATTATTTATCACCAGAATCTAATTGGTTAAAGCCGGGAGCAAAGTTTGATTTTCAAGATATCTGCCTATAAATCGCAAGAGAAGATGTTCTATTTTGCCACTGTGATTTGAAGGGGCAGAGTACTCTCAACTTCCTTGGTGTCAACACTCCTCTCAGCAACATTCTTTGACATTCCAAACATCTGAAAAAGATTGTAAAATTATCCAATCAGAATCAGAAGCAAACCAATTGGACATCAAAAACATTTGTGGATAGGCTGTATTAGCTTTAAATGTGAAGGGGGAACAAACCTTCTGCATGTTCTTCTTGAAGCACGTTTTGTGTTCATCCATAGATGCATTGACAAAATCATTAATGTGATCCTTTACATCCTCCAAGAGAGTGGCTTGCTCGTTCTTCTTCTTTTGACATGAAGTGGTGGCTGGGGTTGCAGCAGCCGGTAATGACTCATGTTGAGTTTTATGTGATTCCATGGTGAGTAGCACCCAGAAGTCATTCGTTATAGAAGATCTGGACGGATGACAGATCAGTGGACTTCAAAGTTAAAATAATGCAAACCGATCATTTCAAACTAAATCCAAGGACTAGCCACAACAAGTCACTGCAAGAAATTCAATACTATCATCATATGCAGGGTAAAAAAACTGAAGTAGAACCAACCAGCGAAACCCCTTGGTTTTCAATTCTTAAATACAAAAAAACAAGGAACCTATAGACGTAGTTAATATAAAGAACACTCATTCAAACCTTTTCATCAGAGAAGCTGGATCTATGTATTGGTATGTTAATATGCAAATTGGCAAAAATGTATTGATTTTTAGTGTAAACAGAAGAAATGTGAGGGCAAAAGAATTAGGATACAGCAGCTTTCAATTAAATACGACATAAGAACATAAAGAACCATGAAAGTTTTCAGATGGCCTCCACACCCTATCTGCTAGCATTATATGTTAGTCTCTCTAGTGAACCATGTAGAATAAAGCTCAAGGAAAACCCTTTTTCGGCGCTAGTTCCTTTTATCTTCTTATGGTAACACTAATTAAATGAGATTCAAAGGTTGATTATTGTTTTAGATCCCAAATGTCCCACAACCTCTATAGCCAGGGAAAAGTCTTTCCCAAATTTTCGAAAAAGGAGCACTTCTCTTCCATGAAAAGCAAAGAAAATCTTCAACTTATTCAGATCTTATTAAAAGTGGGCAGTCCCAAAATAAAATTCCATTCGAAATCAAGCACACCAAGGTACGATGAAATGCCACACTGAAACTATCACAGGAAAACATACCGTACACCAAGTTGTTCAGGGTGGGCGAAGTATAAGAGCTTGTAAGTTGTCTTTGATTCGAAAAAGAAAATAGTAAGAGCAACAATTAAAATTAATATCAGGTGATAAAAGATTGAATAAAAAGCGAAAGATTCAGAACCAGCAGACACCTCTGATCGCAAGAGAAAGCAAGTCCTAAGGTAATTCGCAAAGAAATTTTATAATTTTGATTTTATTATTTGTTGAAGGAAACAGAAATATGGGGTTTCGTATTTATAAATTATACCTGCTTGGTGAAGGAGGAACCGCCTCCAGCTAGAGTGGTTTCCAAGAAACGGAGGCCAGGCAGTGTACGTTGTAGACTTGAAACGTGACGCTCAATTATGGGCAAACGGGACGGAGTTCGAAGCTCTCTTTGGGATTCTGGTTTTGTGATTTTTTTGTTTGTTTGGAATAAATGATGTTATCTACTTAAGAGTGAGGGATGAGGATTTAGCTTCACAATAATTTTGTTCAAATTTGTTTTTGACGAGAATAAAAAATATTTGAATTGAATCATTCTTTTTTAATAGATAATAATGTTTCTTGCTACACACTTTTCTGCCAAAAAAAAAAATGTATTTAATAAAACCGTGCTACGTATAAACTTTTATTTTCTTTTTCACACTTATACTCAGTAACTATATTGAACAGTGCTCCAACTACAAGATGTTCTCAGTGTGGTTATTTTCTCTTCCTGGCAAACATATAAAGTTGTGCTAAAGAATATCCATAGAATTTTTTTCTACTAAATGTAATTTCAAAACCAAACAAAAATGTAAATAATTTATGAGATAGAGCACCCTAGCAAATTTATAAACAGTAGTTTGGTGTTATGAGGAAACCTATTAAAAGAAAGGGTGTGATATTCACATACCTCTTTTTACTTCTCACATACCTTTTTAATTTTCGGCTGTCGGATAAGATAAATTTAAGAAGATCAAATGACAAAAATTTACAAGAGTTATGTGAGAAGCAAAAAGAGGTGTGTGGATAGCACACCCCTAAAAGAAATAGGGCATACAAATTGCATGAACAACCTGAAAAGCTTATCTCGTTTTGCAATGCATATTAAATTACCCCATTAAGCACCCCATATGAAATTGCATTTACTTAAAAAAATTATATTTTTTATTAGAAGACAAGATACATATGTCTTTTTCATCTTTTCAAAAAATATATACGTGTTGTAGACCTATTTGATTGAATTGTAAATTTGATTGAACTGTATTTAGGACTAGAGAGGGAGAGGAACAGTTGCAAGAGAGAGAAGAGAGAGATTTAATTGTGAGGTGTGTGTTGTATCACCCCATTGTGCCTATATTTATAGTAGTAAGATAGGTTAAATCCTTACCCCTTATAGGATTACAACTCTAATAGGATAATAACTACTAAAGGGAATATTTAAAGATATCCCTAGATACACTAGGATTTACCCAATCACATTTCTATTCTAAATATGACTGCAACACTCCTTCATGAGTGTGGAAATACTCAAACAAAATATGGCATCAGATCTTCAACAGATAAGGTAGAATAGTTGATGAAGTTGTTGGCACAACGGGCGAATGCAAGTCTCAAATTTAAAGAAAGTATGCAGTGGTGGTAAAACTCACAAAACCTCGCTATGGTAAAACCTAAGGTAGGTATAAAACCTATAGACTAAGGAGAAAAGTGAGAAGTATGCATAATGTCTAAAACAAATGTCAGACGGGACGAAAGTAGTGAACTCAATGAAGTATGATCTCCCAATGATGGGTGCCTCATCAAAACCTAGTTAGGTAGCAAAAACCCAGTGGGAAAAATGCTCCTATCGTAGGAAAAAGAGTACATAAAGATCAAGTGAGTATGCTTTAGGATACCCCCTGAGTTAGACATAACTTCCAAATAAGAGAACTACATGCAATTCAACTCAGATAATTTAGGCATACCGATTCTTTGGACGAGCTTTTGAAAAGCAGACTTAGGCAATAACTTGGTAAAGAGATTGGCCAAGTTGTCCTGGGAACGGATTTGCTTGACTTCAATGTTCTGATGCTATTGTTACTGGTGAGAATAAAAGAACTTCGGCGCTATGTGCTTGGTGTTGTCTCCCTTGATGTATCCCTTTTTTAATTGCTCGATACATGCTGCATTGTTTTCAAAGATCATTGTAGGAAGGTCAACAACGGTAGTAAGATCACTAGTGCTTCGAATATGTTCCTTGACTGCTCTTAACCAAAAGCACTCACGCGATGCTTCATGCAAGCCGAGAATCTCAACATGGTTCGAAGAAGTCGCAACTAGCGTTTACTTGGTAGACCTCCAAGATATAGCAGTGTCTCCAATGGTAAAGACATAGCCCATTTGACAACGTGCCCTACGTGGGTCAGACAAATATCTGGCATCCGCGTAACCAACGAGGCGAGAATCAACCTGAGGACTGATGGGGGAGGCGGCGGCTCCTCTCGAGGATTCACGGGCGTGGAACAAGTCAAAATCTGTCGTACACTTGAGGTAGCGGAAAATGTTTTTAACACCATTCTAGTGTTTGCGTGTAGGTGCATAATTGTATCTAGCCAAAAGATTAACAACAAAGAGATATTGAGTTTAGTGCATTGAGCCAAGTCCAATAAAGCTCCAATTGCACTTAGGTATGGAACTTCAAGCTCCAAAATCTCTTCTTCATCCTCCTTGGGACTGAAGGGATCTCGTTTAGCATCTAGAGTCCGAATGACCATAGGAGTACTCGAAGGCTTCGCTTTATCCTCATTAAAGCTTCTCAACACCTTTTGGGTGTAGTTCGATTGATGTACTAAGATTCCATTTGAACAATGCTCAATCTTCAGGTCAAGACAATATCGAATTTTTCCAAGATCTTTCATCTCATATTTCGATTTCAAGTAAACCACAATTTCCTCAAGCTCTACTAGAGTTCCGATGAGGTTTATGTCGTCAACATAAACTGCAACAATCGCAAATCTGGAATGTGACTTCCTAACGAACATGCATGGGCATAGTTTGCTATTCACATAAACCTGACTTGTCAAATATTCACTCAGACGGTTATACGACATCCGCCCAGATTGTTTTAATCCGTAGAGTGATCTCAATCTAATCGAGAGAGTGTTCCGTGGTCTAGAACTATTTGAACCAATCAATGGAATTCCTTCTGGAACTTTCATGTAGATTTCCGTATCAAGATCCCCATAGAGATATGTAGTTACCACGTCCATAAGCTGCATATTCAATTTTTCAGAAACTACCAAACTAATAAGGTAGCGGAACTTTATGATGTCTATTACAGGGGAATACGTTTCCTCGTAATCAATCCCAGGGCATTAAGAGAAGCCTTGCACTACGAGGCGTGATTTCTATCGCACTATTTCATTTTTCTCATTACGCTTCCTCACGAAAACCCATTTGTAGCCCACGGGCTTCACATGTGGTTGAGTAGTAGCTACAGGCCTAAACACCTTACGTTTCTCAAGCGAATCAAGTTCGACCTAGATTACTTGTTTCCAGTTTGACCAATCCGTTCTACTTCGACATTCATCAACGGAACATGGTTTAATGACATCGTTAAACATGATGTCAGTAGCTACTGTGTACGTAAATGCATTGTCAATGATCATCTCATTCCGATTCCAAACCTCATCCAATACTGTGTAGTGGGCCGAAATATCACGATTCGTTGGAGACCAGGTTGTTTCATCTAAGACGTTATCATAATTTAGAATAACCTCATGTGTTGGAACAGATGAGTAAGCATGGTCAGATTCAAACTAAGGTCACTAGTTTGTGTAGTTTTCCTCTTCCGAGGTTGTGAATCCTTTGAACTAGGGGGTTTGCCACACTTCAGGGTAAGAACAGATGATTGGGTAACCGTATGTGTACCGAGCCGCGTGGAAGGTGCGGCCGCCCCACCCTTGTGGACTGTTTGGCCTTCCCAGGCTGTAATATGGTGTACTCAAGGTACGTCCATCCTTGCAGGTGATTTTACAACAGGTATATGTGATCTTGTCACATTCGCTAGATCAATAAAAGTATCCGGCATGCTTTGAGCAATGCTATGAAGATCTAGAATACGTCGCACTTCAGTTTCAGATTGGCCAGTGCGAGGATCTAAATGAGACATAGTGGGAGCATATCACGACAATTCGAGGCGTTCTACAAGAACGTTAGCGTTCTTATCTCCCTCTAACGACGGGAATACTATCTCATTAAAGTGACAATCCGCAAAACGTGTGGTAAATAGATTCCTGTTAAGGGCTTTAAGTAGCGAATAATTGATGGCGAATCATAACCAACATAGAATCCCATTTTTCTCTGAGGACCTATTTTGGTACGTAGTGGCGACGCTATTGGCACATAGATTGTGCACCCAAACATATGTAAACACGAGACGTCAAGCTCATATCTAGTAACCAACTGTAACAGTGAATGCGGTTGTGTAGCGGTGGGCCTTAGGCGGACCAACATAGCTATGTGCAATATTGCATAACTCCAGGTAGATACTGGCAGTTTGATTTGTATGACCAAAGTCCGAGCTATCAATTAAAGTCACTTTATGAAAGCTTCTGCCAGGCCGTTTTGGGTGTTAACATAGGGTATAGGTGAAGGAATATTTTGTGAAAACATGTTCATTTAAGCAACATCAATAAGCATGCAATTAACAATTAAAGGCGGAATCATGCTAGCATGCACTTAAAAACAAAACATTAACCAAGAAATTCAAAGCCTAGTAGATTGGTGAACCAAAACTCAACTCAAAACAAAGTGAGTTGAAATTGTACCTTTGTAGATTCCTCTTTGCATAAGCAAAGGCTAATCACCCAAAGAGAGGGCCTTCATTCCTTGCATCTTAAATCTATGGATTTGGATGGAAGAATAGGTTTCTCCAAGTTCCCAAAATTGAGAACCACTAAGTCTTTTCACCAAGGAGAGATTGGAGAAGAAATGAGTGACCTTGGAGTAGTGGGATTGCAAGATGCACCCCCCAAGGGGCCGGCCTCCTAGAGAGAAAATGGAGAGACAAGTTCTCACCAATTTTCTCTAAAAGAAACCCTAATGAATAAAAGGCTATAAAGTCATATTTATACCTTTATTCATTTGAGTGGCAAACTTGTAATTAAAGCAAGTTCACTACCCTTCCTCTAAATGGCCGGCCATGGGGTGTTGTTTGGGCTTTTGGGTCTTAGTGAATCATTATTCATTAAGTTGTCATACAACTTAAGTCAATGGGCTTGACGTTCGAAGCCCATTGGACCTTAAGGTCCAAAACCTATCCCGAGGTCTTTAACGAACTTATTCGTTTGATTAATTAACATATTAATTAATCCTTGCCATAAATAAATGATTGAACCATTTAATCATTCTTACTCATCTCCATTGTTTCTTCAATCTCCACCTTACACGGTGTGCGATCCATTAGGTTCCTTTTAGCGAGGCAGTGGGCGATTAAAACCATTTTACATCGATTGTGAATTGAAACTTACTTTCAATTC